CAGGGACGCTCTGGCCCGTGTCCTGCCTGACTCCTGGCAACCAGTGATGTCACTGGTTGCCAGATGCTGGGCAGTATGCCAGCCAGAGAATCCCAAATTTGCTAAGAGCCGGCGAGGAGATGTGTAAGGGCCACATACATCTCCCCATCTGGCTCCTAGCATCCAGTGCGGGTGCAGAGATGTCCAGAGAGTCCCAGGTTTCCGAAGAGCCGAGCGGGGAGATGTGTATGGCAGAGTGAATGGAAGAGCCATTGCTGGCAACAAAGAGACCAGCCAAACTATCCAAGCAGCAAAAGTTAAGTCTGATTAGAGACAGGTTGGCTGTGTCCATACCATTTAACTTTCTAAAGTTGGTGATTCTATAATTGGAATGGGGCCAATGGTGCTGAAATGAAGGGGATGGTTTAATAGTAGCGCACATAGTGTGCCACAACCAAATACGGGGGTAACAGTACAGTGGCTTGATAGTGACTGGTCTAAAGGAAATCACACTATACAGTAATACGTCCTTCTAGTCAAACCGTGTGACCTCAACAATAAGGCCTCATTCACATGGCCACAGAGGGTTGTACGGAGTCAAGAAGGAGTGTATATCTAAGCTTGGGAGTCAGATTGTGTTCATGTATAGCTCCGTCCGGGACCCTGTACAAACCAATGACAGACTGGCAGGTGCTCACATGACTTTCATTTGTTGGAACACATGGACAGGCCCAGTGTTCCGGTCTCAAATGTACATCAGTTCCCCGGCACATACAGCTCCCCATCCTGAGTAAAGGGCATGTCAGTCTGTACTGCTCACCATGTTGAGTATATACAGTTGGCCATACACGGCTCATATTTCAGCCAATTCCTGTGAATAGACCAACATTTGAGCCTTGAGTAGCTTTGTCAGCACCAACTGGCTCGGTAAACTTCAAATGAAAAAATCAAAAGGAGCCGGGGGGAAAATTGTGGGCCAAACAGTGACTGCAACCAATCAGTTGCAACCACCATTCAGACATTTGAGCAGCCACTCTCCTGTGGTTATTTGAATACAATGACCGGCAGTGGGAGATTCCTCCATCCACGCTGTTGAGGGTGGATAGGGGAAGTGAGTGGTCTGAACAGGAAAAAAATATATATTTATGACCAGCTTAGGGCATACATTTGTATACAGGTATACAAATATAATCTGATATATTCTTGAGGATGTTGTAGCAGTGGAGTCATAAGGGTCTATGTGAATAGCTGTGACATTTGGGGCAAATAATGCCAAAAAGGAATGTTCTTAATATATTTCTTCCTAGTTTGAATGGAGCTTGGAATCATAGGAAATCTACTACTACTACTACTCCTTCCCTCCTTCCTCTTCCTCCTGCTCCTTTTCCTCTCCTTCCTCTTCCTCCTGCTCCTGTTCCCCCTCCTCCTCCTCCTCCTCCTCCTCTTCTTCCTCTTCCTCCACCTTTTCTTCCCCTTCCTCCTACTCCTATTCCTCCTACTCTTCTTCCTCCTACTACGCTTCCTCCTCCTCCTACTTCTCTTACTCCTCCTCCGCTTCCTCCTACTACTCTTCCTCCTCTAGATGGAGCTGAGGAGCACAGGAAATAAATACTTCTTTCCTTAACTCCTCAGCTTCATCTAGTGGCCACAATGTATTATTACAACATTCTACATTTCAACTTGGAAATGCTCCATCTAGTGGCCACAATGTAATAAGACAACTCTACATTCTACATGAGAAAAAATATATTAAGAAGATCTGTTTTGGCATTAGGTGTCCAAAATGAATGTTCACGGATATTTGTGGGGTGAAGAGCCCTGCAAATGGTTTATAAATGGACCCCGTAGTAACTTTCTGCTTTGTTGTGTCTAGTTTACATGGGATTGAGCATGAGGTATGGGTAAATCTACAGGTATGTTGACTCCTTTGATAATTGAGGGGTGTAAACATTTGATTTGGCTAAAGTGCCTTGAGAAAGAGCACCTCTGTGTCTCTGAACAATTGGTGGATTTGAGTCTTTTCCTTGTACTTTTTTCATCTATGCCCTTACAGTAAAAAGAGGCTTTATTCACGGGGTGCCGGCTATTGTTCTTCCTGTCTACTACGGCACTGCCATTGGCCATGCTCACTCCAGTAAGGCGTTAAAAGCATTGGTGTAGGATGGTTGTTTAATAGCAATAAAAAACCAACAAGTTCTGAAAAAAAAAAAAAAACTGCAAGTGCTCTTAAAAATTTCAGACACTTTAATGGTCTTCAGATTCTCATTAAAGCAACTAGAAAATATAAACCTGCATAGCTTCATCTTCTCAAGGAAGAAATGGTTTAATGCATCGTTTAATTAAAGTGTAAAATTAAACTGCGTAACTCTATTCCAGTTCCATTAAACTTTGATTACACCTTACTAAGATTTTGAAAAGGTTCGAGCCTGTAAAATATTAGTAAACTGGCTCCTTCACAAAATATAAATTAGAGGTTTGTTTTATTTTTCTTGGTTCTTTTTCAGTGACTTTTATTTGGTTTGCTTTGGCAATAATGTAATTGCTTGAAATATTAAAAGACATATAAAAGATTTGTCCCAGGATGATGTAATTAATTAGTTGTAGGGTTTGATGCACGGTGCTGAATTTAATGACACGGTCTTCTCTTTACTTCCTCTGCCACTCCGTTCAACGGCCAGGAGCAAAGAGTGTAAGACATTTGTTAGCTCTGAATTGCTGATGTCAGAGTGAACACATGACTGTGGTACTATCTGCCCTCCCCTAGGACAATCAGCACTAGGGATTAGGGATTGGCTCAAGTTTGGACCAAACTCGGTCTGAACCAGTGCTCCTCCATAACTGGAAGGAGCCCCTCCTGAACATGGAAGGAAGCGCCTTCCATGCCACCCAATCAGCTGCTGGTGGGGAATTCCCTGCCCCCTGCTTGGCATAAGCAAAGGAACGGGATGCAGTGATGCCATTGACCTTACATGGCTACATGTTTATATTTAGGAAATACCTAATATGGCTATGTGGCCATACTAGGTAAATTACGTCACCCCTTTGTCTGTATGCAGCTGCGGCCCGTGAATTCTCATACCGCAGCTGATTGGATGAAAGTGCCCAAGGCAATTGTTCAGAGCAGCTCAGGTTCAGACCGAGTTTTGGTCTGAACCTGAGCTCATCACTACTAGGGATGAGCAGAATGGTTTGGCTGAATTGATTTCCATGTTAAAAATTACCAGTTTTTGTTTCTGGCAAAATTTATTTTGCTTCATTTTAAGCTTGGGTTCATTTTGATAAATAAAAACTATAACTTTAAAGTCTGAATCGAGCTTGGGTAAAAAGGAGAAAAATTCACCCCCCTTCCCCAGCAGCACATAGAAACATAAAAGCAGCTTCGGCTATATTTATCTTCTACTTTTGGGGCCCGTCCTGCGTTAGGGGAGAGATTTTGTGGCCTTTTTTTTTCGTTTTCTTTACCTCTGCCCACTTGGAGGTCTCTGTTTGGGAGATCCTTTACCTAGTACTTGGTAGACCTGGCTTTGGCTAGGTGGACTTGGGTTACCATGCCCCTGTCAGGAGCCATGTGCCCCAGGGGGTTCAGGAAATCATGGCCTTTCTTCTTCGAAAGAGGACCAAAAGCACCCTTGTGCACTTTTTTTTAGCGTGTTGTGATTTCGCGATTCACTTTTTTTGATCACAGGGGGGAAGTTTGTCTTCAATCCACGCACCATGGACTTAAAAAAAAACAACTTACCTTTTCAGCAAAAGGGGTATAGTCTGGAGGGGATAGAGTAGTCTAGCAAAACTAACCATTTTTATAAGGTGACATCTGCCCAGAAGGGAGATAGGGTAGTCCCTCCATGTACGTAGTTCTTGAACAATTTTGGATATAATTGGTTTGTAGTTTAGTGTATACAAATCCCTGGCAGAGCGGGGGATGAGTACTCCCAGATAGGTGATGTAGCGTGACTGTATTTGTAGAGTGGGGTACGTACGGGAAAGGGTAGCTACAAACGTTTTGTCCGCGGTCAGAGGAAGAAGCTCGCTTTTGTTGACATTGATTCTAAGACCCGAAAACGAGCCATAATGTGTGATGTGGGCAAGGATGTTCGAGATTTGGGTCAGTGGGTCAGAGAGGAGCAAGAGGATATCATCCGCAAACAATGCTAGTTTAGTGTCGTGTGGGCCAGATTGGTAACCAGTAAAAATGTGAGGGGCAGTCAAGGATCGGGACAGTGGTTCTATAGCCAGATTAAATAATAAGGGGGAAAGAGGACAACCCTGGCGGGTTCCCTTGTATAGGCGGAAGGCTGTGGAAAGGGCCGAGGAGGTGTATATCTGTGCTGAGGGGGAGCTATACATAGTGGACACATATTTCAAAAACGACCCCGAAAATCCAAAGCGTTCCATTACCTTCGAGAGCCATGACCAGTTAACATTGTCGAAGGCCTTCTCCGCGTCCAGGGCCAACAATGCCATTGGACCAGGAGAGGACCCCGACAACCTTATTCCCTCCAGTGCAGTGAGTATTTTTCTCACATTCAGTACTGCGGAACGACCAGATACAAAACCCGCCTGATCTGGCGAAACAAGTTGAGGCAGCACAACGGCCAGTCTATTGGCCATAATCTTGGAAAGTAGTTTGGCATCGTAGTTAAGCAGGGAAATGGGACGGTATGATCCGGGTAGTGTGGGGTCTTTCCCTTTTTTGGGCAGCAATCTTCTGTATGCTGAGCTAAAAGTGGTCGGGTAGCAACCGGTTTGCAAGATATGATTGTACAGGGAGACTAAAGTAGGGGAGATATGGTCAGTTACGGATTTGAAGAATTCTGCTGACAGCCCGTCAGGCCCAGGAGCCTTTGAACTTGGGGATCCCTAATTGCAATGCATTGTCAGAAACATACTCCCCCCACCAAGAGACCAGGTGTGCTTGGAATGTATCATCGGTAGCCAGATATGCCGGGAAGCGCCATACCATGGGTCTGGAGGGCAGCCCCACATGTTGAATGTCAATTAGTACTGGAGAGTGGTCCGATATGACCATATCCTCGGTAGTCAATGTTCAGGTGCGGGAGTTGCGGTCTGGATGTGGCGGGGACGGAGCTCCTGTATTCACCGTCTAGTCCATCCGGCGCCGGAACCGGAAGTCCTACAACTTACCTTTTCTCTGGCACTTGCTCCTGCAGAATCACCCGATCACCGATCCAAACCCAGTCTACACCTTATATGGCAGATTGATTGGACTAGTAGTTTACAAAAGAAAAATAAGATTGTTTTTTGCTCACAGGTAGGGACAAGGAAATGGAATTTCTAGCAAGATTAACAGGCATTTTCTGTACTTGCTAAAAATGTGCTTAGCCTGAAAAAAGAAAACTAAAGCATCCATCACATCTAGAGATTGAACGCTGCAATGTATAACATTTTTAGGGTTAGACCCACTTTATTGAATTTTAGAAAGAATATTGAAGTGATGGGTCATATACTGTAGCTCATAATATGAACGTTGTCTGTGACTACTTAGGTCTCCATCTACTATTTTGTTCCCATAAGAACACTGTCACTTATGTCCTACTGTAAAATAATCAAAATAAGACTATCCAGCTGTTTACTTCCCTCTTCTCCATTCATTACCACTAGAAGCAAATTACATTGTAACCAACCTTAGCACATTCTCCAAAGAACATATTCATTTGACCTGCTTCAAGCAGGTTTGCATTCCTATAGACTTGTATGGGAATGCAAAACCCACTTGATGCACGCAAAAGCCTGTCGACGAATGCCCTTAATGTTGCCCGTGACTGCGTCTGTCTTCGTCTTTGTTTACTGCTTTGCTTCGAAATAAACAGAGTCACTTATGGCCTGCTGTCATATAATAAAGTGTTATCTCACACTCTAGCCTTATTATTTTGAAATCTGCAGCTTTTATAAAAATGATACCTGGTGATCCTGCAGGAGGGTCCTTGTTCAGGCACTTCCTGTATAGGGTCCCTGTCTCCCAATGGTTTCCCCCGTTGTCACCCTGTCAAGCGGTGCTCGTTTTAGCACACAGGCCGCAAGCATGGTCCACTGTTGTCACCATCAGCCAACCCACCCTGATAAATGCCATGCAGCCATCGCTGGAGTGCATTCATGTAAATAGGAAGTGGGTTCAAGGAGATCATTAGCATTGGTGTGTGACTGATGTGGCCCTCGAGTGTGTATGTGCATGCTTGTATGTGTAGTAGGGACATTAGATTGTAAGCTCCTTTGACATCAGGAATTGCTGTATACGGATTATTGATCTCTGTAATGTACTGCGTGATATAGACAACCTATTGGGGCTCAGGTAAACACAAAGCACTGATGGAGTAGGAATGCACTGATGCAGGTTTTTCGGTATCTTGTATGAGTACCGATATTTGTTTTTCGGTACCAGCTAATACCGAGTACTGATGCCAGTGCCATTTACCCCAATTATCAGCAAGTTGGGCGACGGATCATGAACCCCTGTCGGCCTGATTGCCTGGGAAGCCGGTGTTCTATCGTAAGAACACCGGATTCACTTACCGAGGGTGCCTGGCTTCCTGACCAATCAGTAAGCCGGGCAGTGGATCATGAGGTGCCGTCCAGCTTGCTGATTGGCAAGAAAGCCAGGCTGCCCAGCAACATGTGAAGCTGACTTCCTAGCCAATCAGGAAGCCGGGAGGTGGGTCATGACGTGCCACCCGGCTTCCTCTCTGGTTAGGGAGCCACGCTGCCTAACAACAAGTGAAGCCGGCTTCCTAGTCAATCATAACCCACCGCCCGGCTTCCTGATTGGAAAGAGAGTCGGTTCCATGCTCCCTCAGCACTGCTGGTCAGAGGGAGATCTCTCTCTGATCAAAAGTTCCGGTATCAGAGGTAAGTATCGGAGCATTTGGACGAGTACTAGTATTTGCCCAAATACTTGGTATCGGCATCTAGGGATCGGTGCATCCCTATTTATAATTTAATACATTGATATTACTTTTTTTGTTTTGATGTCACTAATACGCATTTCATTTTAAATGTTTTTGGCTTTAAGTGCAGTAAAAGCATTGATGATTGTCCTAAAGCCATTGTTTTATTTGTATTTTATTGTTGTTTTGGAATATTTAATTAAAACTGTATTGTGTCTTTACTTTCAGGCCAGCCCCGCTCCGATAATTGTGAACACAGACTCCTTGGACACTATCCCCTATGTTAGCTACACTCCATTCCATGAAAACACGGTAAGACAAATGATAATATATACATTGATTCACCATTCAGGAGTGGGTAAAGCTGAACTCCAGGCAAACTGCTAAATATACAAATGAAGTGCATACAAGGGAGTTGTTTTACCTACCAAAGTATTTTTTTTTTCAGTCCATCCAGTTCTGAAATATACACAGCTTTGCTACATAGCACAGCCCTTTCTGGTAGGTCAAGAGATCTGTTTTCTTCTTTGCAGTTTAGTAACCCTTACCGGTCTTGTCTTTCCCCAGCCTGTAACTGGATCATAAAAAGAAGAATAGAGAAAAGTGTTGGCACACGGTTCATCGATCCAGTTCAAAGCTTTCAAGGCATACAACCAGACATAGCAGTCCTGCTAACACGTTTCAGCCAAAAGAGGCCTTAATCATAGCAACAGCTTGATGGTGAACACAGTAGATGTGGGAATTAAAGCGCCACACCAATTAAAATACTCCAGATAGACAAATGACTTAGGAAACAATCAAGTAAAGTAGCTGATGCATTTTGGGGGTCCAAAACACACCCCTACAAGAAATGATCAGAGTCTACAGACCAGGGGCCACAGGTTGGGCCCCAGGGCATTAAATGAACGCCACACTTTCTGGACTTTTTAGATAATCACAACGTCTTGTGAACTGGAGCCCCTATCTTTGGACAGTACTCAATCAGTCTACAGGGCTCATGCCTCTGTTCACCACGGGAAGTGTCTCGTCACAGGCAGATCTCAGGAAACGCTCTCTGGGAAAAGTACACTGTTAACATTGGCCAAGGGAGATAGGATGGCACTTCCTAAGCAAGAATGGCATTTAACCAGAATCCCATTCTAACAGGGTTATTCACAAAAGGGTGAAGAGTTTGGAGAAGGGAACAATCTAGGACAACATAGCTGATTTGGAAAAATTCTCCAACCCAGCTCACTTTGCAGTTCAGCTATGTTGTCCTAGATTGTTCACTTCTCCCGCCTTCTCCAAACTCTTCACCCTTTTGTGAATAACCCTGATAGTTATCTATATGGATGCCCATAGGCAGATGGCTCAGGTTGGATGAGATCTGTCTCTCCCCTAAGTCACATGGAAATCAGAAACCCACCATGATCCACTATGGGTTGTAACAAGGGCTTGTGCATGATTTGGTACTGTTCTTTGCTCCACAGCAGTGGCAAGACACCTGCCTACTATCATAATTTCCCAACAAGCTGGACATTTCTCTGTATGATATATAGCCCATCTGACCACCTAAAGTGAAAAAGGTCAGGCATGTCTTGCTTTTCCCAAGTGAGTCTCAAAATCCATCAAACTTGAGATAGGCACCACATCCAGTCTACTCTTTTGTATAGGCCACCAGCAACTGGCAGCCAGGAGGGTATTTGCCGCCTAAGCTAATGCTGAAATGATATGTTGGGCTGGTGGCCATGAGTGGAGTTGCTTCACACTTCAGACGTCACTCACAGCTGAACTGGCCGTCAATGACGCCTACAGGGCTCTATATATCTACATGTTGCAAGTTCAGACTAGCGATTAAAGACGTATTCTAGCAACCATCTTTGTGGCTTAGAGATGTCATGGGACCAAATGCCAAGAACCAGAAAGAAAGCTGATCTTGTGAAAATATGAGCCATATCTACCAAACAATGATCCGCCATGCCAGACTTTAGGTTCAATTCACAAAGTTTTGCACAAGGATAAGGAACTTTATTTTCAGCCATGTGCCTTTAATGTGATACTAAATTCAGGTATTAAATCTTAAGAATACATTCAGGTACCTTAACTATTAACAAAAATGTATCTTATTTGTGTATCACTCGGCTGTCGATCCTCCAATCATCTCTGAATTGTTGCTGACACTGTCCTTCCTTCTGGAGGGGGGCTACTTTTGTTCCCCATGGTCCCTGTGTGTGTTGTAAAGTAGCCACACCTCCAAGCTCACTCCTGTGATGGACTACAATCTCAATACAAATCAGTAAACTAAACATGAAAACTGAGACTTTTTGAGACCCAAGTGAGACTTTTTGAGGCCCACAGAAAGTTTCATCTACCACGAAATGACTAGATGTTTGTATTGGCTCCTAGGGCAAAGTGTGCCAGTCCATCCAAGCAAGCCAGAGGGACAAGGTGCATTGACACCTAAGTATATACAGTATTAACCAATATAGCTTACACTGAAGTAACTCGTACGGTGTCACACTTTGTGTTGCCGGTAAATAATTAATACCCCAACTTTCCTGGTTGGCAAACTGACAACTTCTGCCAAGAAACTTGCAGCTCTGTCAGTTATTCAATAACAGCACCACGTCTTTGTCATAGGGCAGTGGCGCAGGCTTGCACATTAGATTAAAAGTTAGATTAATGTGCGGTAATTTTCTGAAGAGCTTCGTACAACATTTACGATTACATCACCCAGAGGAACAGTAAAGCTTTAAGAATTGGAGCTCTTTTCTTTTTGCTGCCAAAACCTTTATCCCTCATTTCTAACGCTAGACATTTATGTGTGATATAATGACACTTTCAGTATCTAAGTGGCAACAATTTTGTATTTGCAGTAAAATTCGTCATGACTTATTATTGTCACATTGAAAATCATTTTTGATGCAACTTTTTTTTTACTAGCTTGCAGTGGCAGATCACAATGAGATGAAATTTGTAGGTGCGCCCTCTATTGGTTTCTTGTGGTTCAGACAGTGCATACTGCATTATGGCTAGGAAAGGGAAAAGGGATTCAGTAAAAATTGATTTGGCAGCAAAATTATTGATTTCATAGTCTGTAAAATCGGGTTGAATTGGGAAGTCTTGATTTTACTCATTGAGCTACTAAAAAAAAAAAATCACTGAATGGCTGTTTTTGTGGCACAAGAACAGGTCCAGGTTACCTAAAGTGCGAGGGACAAGCAAAAAGTAAAGGCAAAATATAGTGTGCAAAATAATTATTTGATCCCCTGCAGATTTTGTAACGTTTGACCGCTTACAAATAAATGAAAGGTCTATAATTTTTATCATAGGTTTATTTTAAATGATAGAGACGGAATATCAACCAAACATCCAGAAAAAGCACATGATACAAATGCTATGAATGGAGTTGCAGTTCAGTGAGTAAAATAGGTAGGTTAGGTTAGTTGGCTCCTATCTAAATTGGTCCTGTATGTGAGATAGGGACCTTGGATTGTAAGCTCCTTGAGGGCAAGGACTGATATAAATGTCCATGTAAAGTGCTGCATACATTGTCGGTGCTATATAAATACCAATAAATAAATAATAGAGATTTCCTCTCTATTTCTGTTGTGCGGGGCAGTCAAAATGTTGGATTTTGCTTCACTTTGACCTTCCCCAAAACCACATTCACAAAAGGGCATATTGTGAATGTCAATGTCATATGTACAGTGGCGTAATCAGCTGTTTTCCTGACATGCGCACCTGGAAGAGACGCGGTAGAGAAATTTATCGGTTGAGGAAAATTAAAGCACAGTGGTAGTGTAGGGATGCCTCGTCAGTTCTGTGCGCGTGTACGACTGGTGCTACCCTGGTAGTTCTGCCACTAACTCTAAGCTGTAGAGGGACTACAAATCTCAGCACAACAACAATGTAGAATAATACCACCAGCTATAGAGAACTATAAATCCCAGCAATACATTATACAGCAATGCAGAATACCACCAGCTATAGAGGAATACATTATACATACATTGAGGGGAATTTATCAAAACTGGAGCAGACAAAATTTGGGGCAGCTGTGCATGGCAACCAATCACCTTCTCTCTGTCATTTTCAAACCTTAACTCAACAAATTAAAGAGAGAAGCTGATTGGTTGCCATAGGCAACGGCTCCAGATTTTGTCTGCTCCAGTTTTGATAAATTCCCCCCAGTGTATAATGTATTGCTAGGATAGCATAGCGGGAGCTTGGCAAAATCCGCAGCCAGCTTCCCCACTACGCTAATAGCGTATCTTCTCAGAAGCTGCACACAGCGCGCGCCAGTTTAACCTCTTGCCGTCCGCCCGTTAAGAAAAAACGGACGGACGGCAGACTCGCATCCGCGTGCCGTCGTCAGACGGAATTTTTTTCCTGCTTGCGCGCGCACGGGCAGGAAAGACCCGCTCGTTACTACAGCCGTTAACGGCTGTTTCACATACAACCGATCAGCGGCTCTATAGCCGCCGATCGGTTGTATGGCGTGCATTTCGGAGCGCCCCCCCATCTCGAGTGTGCTCTCTACAATGCCTGATCCAGCCAGCCCGGATTGCCTTGTATGCGATCCGGGCCGGTAATCAGGCATTGTAGAGGGCAGCCCGCTGGGGACCTGCCGAGGACCCACTTGAGGAGCGAGCAGCCGGCTATTACAGAGCTGCATCTGACGCGGGCGGGCTGACCGGGTGCAGATGGCAGAGAGGTAGCGGCGAGGGGACGGTCAGTGACGGGCCCCCTGATGGCCGCGGGCCCTCGGTCCGTGCCCGACTGCCCGAATGGTCAGTCCACCCCTGATCGGTGAGTATCATTGATATTTACCGATCCTCTGTGTGCAGCACAAACACTGGAGTGATCGTCTGATCACTCCAGTGTTTGTAAATAACTGGGGACACATAGTGCTATGTCAAGCAAAACAAGACGTGTATCCATTATCCTTAGTGGTGAGACAAGTTGTTTTACATGCTGGTTTGTGAGTGTGCCATGATGCCTTCCTGCTGTTTTACATAGTATTATGTGTCCCGAGTTATGAATGAACAGGCCGTGATTTACATCACAGCCTGTTCATTCTTGAATTTCTCAATGGGGAGAAGCACTCAGTACAGAGGCTCCTCCCCATTGAGAATCTGCTTGATAGTAAATATCTTTCTATCAGCAGTGAATGAATGGGAAGCCTCTGTACTTAGTGCTACCCATTCACTGAGTGCTGATGCTGCAAAAAAGCCATTGAGGGCTCTGTGTCCTCAATGTCTTTTTCTATTTCAAAAGGGAGATGTCGGGGGTCTGTTTAGACCCCTAATATTTCCCCGAAGCCCCCCCAACAGTAAAATAATAATAAATAAAAAATGTGTAAATAAAAAAAAAAACACAACCCCCCCTCCCCTTCACACACATAACATACACGTGCACCATATTGTGGTGTACGCCAGGTCACATGCGCTGCAGTGCGTTGTTAGAACGCATCACAGTGCATGATTTTATTATTTTGTTAAAAAAACATTAATTTAACTATGGCAAAGCTTTGTGACGCATTGCCGTGGGTTGTGATACCTTGTGTTGTAATTAAATATACGCCTGTATCATTTTATCACAACACCAACACAGCGCAAAAAACATTTATAACATTAATCGCTTATTTACAGTTTAGCGTTCCTTCATTTTTTTTTTAATAATCCCCCTTTCCTCAGCCTCTCATTGGTGTGGCAGTATTAAAGTGTTAGGCCTCATTCAGGCGCCATTCACACCACGGCGGAATCGTTTCACCGTGGTCTCCATACGATTTTGTTAGAGTATTTTTGGCTGGTTTTAGTCGCGTTTCAGCGCAGAAACGCAATTAAAAACACTTTAAAACCTGCTGATCAGCGTATTTCTATTAAAATGGGGGCGGGGGATTTCGTTGGGGGGCTTTAAATTTTAACCCTTTGCTGCACGGTGGTTGCCCCACTGCAAGGGTTATCTTTTGAACATACTTTAAGCTGGAGTTCAGCTTTAAATACACTGTGATAAGGATAGCTTTGTTGAGAATATATCTATTATATAATGTTTTGGATTTTTTTTTTTTAATTAAACTTTTAATTATAATATGTGCATGTAATGCTCTTTTTTTTTCTAGATCAACGGGTCTGAAATTGAATATGAATTTGAAGAAATTACACTGGAGCGG